TTTAATGATTATTAATTGTTTAAAATTATTAGTCAGCTATAGATTTTTAAATTATGAGATAGTAAGATATGGGAAAGGGAGAAAACAGAAATTATTCAAATTTACTCACAACTCGTTGGGATCATAAAAATAAGTGCGTTGATAAACTTGCAATGGCTGAAGTCGGAGGTTTATAACATGAAGAGCCGAGTAGTGGAGATGCTCATCAGAAATTTCACATGATGCACAATTAAATGTTAATAAAATCATTTTCACTGTGATATAAACAAATTAATAACTTAATTGCATAATGCAAGAAAAGGATCCCCGAGGCTATATAATGTTAAAATTGAATGGCTGAATCTTGACTGGAGCTGTCAACCGTACTGCTTATAGTGCTAGTTAGTATTTATTAGTGAACGCTTAATGAACTAGATAGCAAGTGAACTAATGAACTAGAGAACTTAATGAACTAATGAACTAGAGACCAAGTGAGCGCTCGCGCCTTGCGCTTGCATTTTTTAAAGTAGTTGCTTCTCCTCCTTACTGAATGGTGGGAATCTTTGAAAATCGAATCAAATGATTTCTATTACTCCCTTCTTAGGGCCAAGGAGTTAGATTTTCAGTAAGAGAGGAGTGTTTTAATTGGTTAAGCCCTTTTGCGCGAGGTTTAGCTCCATCCAGTAGAGAGTGGGAGCGAGGAGCTGATTATCTTATCGCTTGACGATTGAGAATGGCCTGTCGAACGAACGCACGTGCAATATTAATTTATGTTTACCTCTGGTCAATTTCTCGAGGACCACAGGCTGTTTGTTTAAAATCTCTAAAATAAACCAAGTTATAACCATGGATACGAGTGGTTCGAATTTCATATACTTCCGAGTCTCATAATTCAAAACTTGTTTAGATTTTCCTTAGCGCTATCTCGACTGGCCATTCTCAGTATTTAGACTTACTATTTATTTACGCGAGTTAGATTCCGTTTCAAATTCGAGCCTAACTTTGATTACTTTTAAGATAGCGTTTCGATGAAAGAAAAGAATCGTGAAGTCCACCGGACGTAACATTATATTAATTATATGTATATAGTATTAACCAGTCAGAATTTAAATCTTAACGTAAATTCTTCCTTGTATATTCTGACTGATGACCTCCAAATAATTGTAACACCCGCGAGAATATATACATACACACAGATACCCACTCACGCATAGCTACAACAGCTAAGATGTATTTTTCTTTCTTCATTTTTTTTATAATATATGTATTTTTAATTTAATGTATAATTTAATTATTTAACCCGTTCTCTTCCCTAAATTCTGAAATCGCATCCCGCGTAACAAGGATTAAATTCCTTTAGCGAAAAGGGACCATCGAACGAATAGACTTAAAAACGCAGCATTAAAGAGACCTTTGGTCGCTGACCTGTGTCAGGTTCTTCACACTCGTTCAATCCATACACACATCCGAATAAAGTGTATCACGGAGTACGTAAGTTACATTCTTCCATACGGCCCATCCATTCCAGGGTTTTGACGTAACAAAAGCATTAAAATTGTAAAATTCTTTTGTTAATAACTTTTTAATAAACAACGACCGCCGGCTAAAACCTTCAGAATATTAATTAGAGATATGACCTTGACAACATATGTCAATGACACATTTGTGCGAAGGTGGGCCCTTTTTATGCATAATTAACCTATTAATGAAATTATTTTGGAATCAGAATGTGAGGGATATCTGAACGAATTAACGTTGAAAAATTACATAAACATAGTTAAAATTGTTTGAGAGAACTGTTTTACATTTTATGTGACTGCTGCAGAAGAAATTTGTAAAAGGTTACTTATAAATTTGTAAAAGGTTACCTATAAATAATGAATTTTTATTAAAGTTACAAGTTTTTCAATCATCTATAAGTTTATTTGATAGTAATAGATAAACATCATTTGATGATGTTTCTCTCATAACTAAAATTCTCGGCGATTTTGATGAAGATGCTATGAAAAAAAAGAATAGATTGCATTAGCATCAGACCTTACAGTCGAAGAAAAATAAAATTTTCTAAATTTTCTAAATTAAATTTTGATACTATGTGGAAAGCAAGTTTACAACGTCGGCACGCGAATAATGTTCCTAAATAGTCCAATTTAACGAATATTATAAATACTATTCGAACGCTTCCGAATTCTAATGCCGAGCCTGAGAGTTTTCTCTTTTGAACAATTTAAAAACGAAAACACGTAATAGCTTTTCAACGGTTTTCCGTTAATGCTATTTGTGTGTTTAAGTCCACATTAAGAATTAGAAGAGAAACAGTTTCAAATATGCTCATTAATGAAGAGCATTTATCTCTTATGTCGGCGGATAAATTATATGCGCTAATAAAAACAATTTAAAAGTTCATGCGGATGTTGTAGCAGAGCCGGATCCGTTAACGCACGGTGCGATAGCGCAGAAATCCGACAGCACACGAAAAATTGAACACAATTCCCGATAGCCCACGTCTCGATAACGTACCAACCCGATAGCGCACCAAGTACAACTTTGCATGCGAAGACATACACACACACACACACACACACACACACACGGGGGGGGGATACAAGGGGGCCTTCGGCCCCCTTCCTATACCCATCCCGTTCCCCTCACTTCGCGTGCAAAGTTGTATTTGGTGCAAAGTTTCGGATTCGTGCGCTATCGCATCGTGCGCTAACGGGACCCTGCCAATATAACAGGCCTTTCCTACGATAAATAATTTTAAAATAAATTTTTATATATATCACTTAAAAAATAAGTGTGTAAAGATATATATATATATATATATATATATATATATATATATATACAGAGTGAGGCATCTAAAACAGGCCACCTGAATAACTCCGTTGGTAAGCCGAATACAAAAAAATTGTTCAGACAAAAGTTGTATGGTTTCAAGGGTGACATATGATGGTGTCATTAGTTTAATCTTGAAGAGCCACCCGAAGGTCAGCGTGAAGGTCAGCTCCAACTTTTTAAATGGGACACCTTATATGCTTTTGCATATTCTTGTAGCTCATCTCAAGAGCTTTCCAAAACACTACAATTATGTTAGTTTTCATTAAATACTTTCCAAGTTATGAGGCTTGAAATCATTTTTTAATTTTACATAAACCGTAAAATATCTTGTAAAATATTCATTTTTCGATTATTTTACCTTAATACTTTTATGTACAAAATAATGAGAAGAATCAATTGGTGTAAAGAAAACACATAATTGCTTCGAACAAAAAAATGTAATTTGCAATTAACAATTACATTTTTTTGTTCGAAGCAATTATGTGTTTTCTTTACACCAATTGATTCTTCTCATTATTTTGTACATAAAAGTATTAAGGTAAAATAATCGAAAAATGAATATTTTACAAGATATTTTACGGTTTATGTAAAATTAAAAAATGATTTCAAGCCTCATAACTTGGAAAGTATTTAATGAAAACTAACATAATTGTAGTGTTTTGGAAAGCTCTTGAGATGAGCTACAAGAATATGCAAAAGCATATAAGGTGTCCCATTTAAAAAGTTGGAGCTGACCTTCACGTGACCTTCGGGTGGCTCTTCAAGATTAAACTAATGACACCATCATATGTCCCCCTTGAAACCATACAACTTTTGTCTGAACAATTTTTTTGTATTCGGCTTACCAACGGAGTTATTCAGGTGGCCTGTTTTAGATGCCTCACCCTGTATATGTATATATATATATATATATATATATATATATATATACATATCTTTACACACACAGGCGCGCGCATGTGTGTGTCTAAGGAAATGTGTAAATAATATTTTGAACTTTATAATTAGAAAATTGATTATATTGTATTATTTTATTATAATTTTATTTTTTCTTTTTATTTATTACTTATCATTATTTTATTATTTTATTTTTATTTTATTTTTATTATTAATCATTTATTAAATTTTTTACATTTCTTTTTTAATGGAAGAGACTACTACCCTTCTCGCGGTTTCCGTTAAGCAACAAGATGTACGTCATACATTAATACAAAATAATAATAATAAAATACAATTCTATTAAAATAAATTTAAATATTATTTTATTACAATTATTTTTTTAAAGAAATTTTTTTTTAATAAAAAAACGTACATATTGGCCTAGAATGGAAAAATTTAAATAAAAATTGAAATAAAAATATATAAAATTTGTTTCTGTATGTTTTATTCTCTTTTTTAAACAACATACAAAATTTTATAAAAAAAATCAATAGGAAAATATTATGTGTGATAATAAGTATCGCACATGTTGCCGTCAATTCGTCAGTTCGAGATTTCATGGATCCAATGGATACAATAGATCTTCTCAAAAGAGAAGGAGATAGAAGCTAATCTATCCGTCTTTTTCTGTCAAAGATAACCGAAGGTAACCGAAAGTAGTCGAAAGTAACTGAAAGTAGTCGAACGTCGAGCGTACATGGATGAGAACTTATGACTTAGTGGGTGAAAATAGGGGGAATAAATCGTGCCTTCGCTGGTTGCAGCGTATGCAATCTGGTAGCCTTGTGCGCGCGCGCGCGTGTGTGCATGTGTGTGTGTGTGTGTGTGCATGTGCACGTGCGCGCACAAGGTATGCAATCTAGTAGCCTTGTGCGCGGTGCGTGCCTGCGTGCGTGTGTGTATAATTTTTGTGTTAGAAGTCTTCTAAACATCAATTTTTAAAATACTGCTTTAAATTAACATATCTCTGGAATACCTATTTAACATTTTTTGTTAAAATTCTAATTATTATCAAAGTTATGGAGTTATGAAATGAGCAGTGCACAAATGAAAAATCAATATATATGGAGCATCTCATATATAGTGGAAGTTTCAAACTCGGTATCTTAGCGATCACATGATAAAAATAATCTTTATAACAATTTTATGAAACTGTATATGTAATTTGATGACTAATGATGAAAAGATATCTGTATTTTCTATTTCTAGCAAACTATTTTATTTTATCTTACAACTTTTACCTTTAAATAGTTACAGATACAATTGTTGACAAGACGCTTGCTAACGTGCGAGTCCACAGCAGATAAGGGATCATCTAATAGATAAATATCGGCGTCTTTATAAATTGCTCGTGCTAAATTGATTCTGGCGCGTTGGCCACCACTCAAATTTATTCCTCTTTCACCTACAATAGTACAATCACCCTGAGGGAACGAGTCTATGTCTGATTCCATTTCACAGACTTTGATTACTTCATTGTAACGTGATTCGTCCATCGTTTGTCCGAATAGAATATTTTGTTTCACGGAAGATGCGAAAATCCATGGTTGCTGACTGATGTAATTTATTCTGCCACAATTTTCGATGCTTCCACTTATCAAGGGCAATTCCTGGAGTATTGTTTGTAACAAACTACTTTTACCCGAACCTACTTGACCAATAATGGCCACGAAGCTTCCAGGAAGTACAGTTAAGTTTATATTACGTAATGTATAAGCTTTACCATCACCATGCCATTTGGCGTTAACATTGATCATACGAAGTGCGAACGATTCCTTAATCATCTGATGTGAGTTCTCTTCTTTTTTTTTAATGACCTCAGTATGCATCATAAATCTTTGCAAACGGCGAGTACAAACCAATATTTGTACCATTTGATGAAGACCTATAATATATATATTTATATTTTCTCTTTTAATTTTCACAAAAAATTATCTTCAATTGATTATATTTTCCATATTTAATTGTATTAAGAACTATCAATTCCTTAATGTCTTCACTAAATAAAGTTAACGGTGATGAAAATCTATAAATAAATAAAATTAAAGTTTCTAGCATAAAAGCTTATAAATATTTTATTTCATTTTTTTGTTACACTTTATTATTAATTTTTGAAGTTTTTTTAATGATAGTTTTTGATATTTGAAGAAAAGTGCAATTTTTAATTAAAAAATGTTTATTCTTGAGTTTACCAATAATCTTACCCATTGAAAATCCAAAAATCATTGAATTTCGTAAGACGTTGTAATATGCTGTTATTAAATACACTTTTTCGGCATTAATATAATTTCCAAATGAAGTGTACGTCAGTATTGTGATGAAGAGACCAAGTCGTGGTATATAACAATCAAGAGTAAGAGCCAATTGTTTTAGAATAGAATATTTTTTTATTACGTTCATTTCACGTCTGAAATCATAAAGAATCAATGAGAATTTGATTAAATGCGATCGTAAATATATAATAATTATGAACCGAAACTACTACATATTTGCGTAAACATACGTACGCACGTATATAATAGTACAATATACAAGGTGGACAATTTAAGTTGATAATACGAAATATCTCAAAAACGATGCATTGAAGAAAGAAATGTTTTAAAAATACAAATAATGAGAGAAATCAATTAATGTAAAGAAAACACATAGTTGTTTCGAAGAAAAAATATGTTAATTGTAAATTCTTAATTGCAAATTGATTCCTCTCATTATTTTGTACATAAAAGTATTAAGATAAGATAATCGAAAAATGAATATTTTACTAGATATTTTGATGGTTTATGTAAAATAGATGGTTTATGTAAAATTAAGAAATGATTTCAAGCCTCATAACTCGAAAAGTACTCGATGAAGAAATACTTTATTATAGTGTTTTGGAAAGGTCTCAAGATAAGCTACAAGAATAAATAATAAAAAATAGAGGGTTCTGTTTAGAAAATTAAAGATGACCTTCAGGTGACCTTTAAACAATTTTTTAAGGTCAAACCAATGACACTATCTTATGGCCCCCTTTAAGCCATACAACTTTTGTGTGAAATATTTCTTCCTGAAATAATTTATGAAATATTTGACTGTTTCCAGACTTTTGGTACACCCTATATATACTATATAATAATATACATACATATACATACATATACGTATACAGGGTGAGGAAAAAGTCTGTTAGGAAAAATACTCCCGAAAATTTTGGAAACTAAGGGTTATGGAGGAAAACTTCAAATACAAAAGTTGTAGGATATCAAACGGAGCATCTCATGATAACCTTGACTTTGACCTTGACAGCGACCTTGAGGATTGTTTCAAGTTGTTTTTTTCAAATAGGAACCCTAATTTTTTATTGCAAAAATAAAAAACGGGGGAAATTTACTATTCAACGGTATAAGTAACATGGGGGGGCCCAATGTTATCTGGAGGTTATTTGAAGGTCAAATGATGCTTTTCCCGAGAAATTGTAAAAGATCAGCCTATAATTCGGAAACTTAGCGATAGAACCTTGAAATGACTTGAAAGTGACCCCAAAGTCGAAACGAAGATCTTCCTTGAACTTTTTTTTCATTTTTTATCAAAACCCGATTTGACCTTCAAATGACCTTAAACCGGGTCGCCCTTACGTCTTGCCTTGATTGATTGGATTTAGTCTTATCTTCGGATCAAATCAATGAAAATAATAAGTTAACCTTGAAATAATAAGTTAATCTTGAAATAACGTCACCATGAGATGCTCTGTTTGATTTCCTACAACTTTTGTTATTTGTAGTTTCCCTCCATAAACCCTTAGTTTCCGAATTATACGCTGATCTTTTACAATTTCTTGGGAAAAGCATCATTTGACCTTCAAATGACCTCCAGATAAATTCAGATAATTAATATTAAATAAATAAATATTTAATATTAATAATAATAGTAAAATATTTAATATTAATATTTAATATTAATAGTAAAGTATTTAATATTTTTAAAAAATTCATTTATTCTAATTAATTTTAAATATCATATGATGTATATATTTGATGTTCAGTTGCGCCGTCCTTGCATGCCTCTTGTATCCGACCCGTAATAAGTAAAATATTTTTCTTAATAATTCAAAAACTATGCTTTGCACGAAATTTTGCCAAAAGAAAAATCGCCTTAGAATTCGATCAAGATTATGTTTTTGCAAAAACATAATCTTGATCGAATTCTAAGACGATAAAGTTATTTAGAATCACCCTGTATATATACAGAGTGTCCCATTTTAACTTGGACAGTAAAATATCTCAAAAACTAAGCCCAGCAAACAAAAATTTTTCAGACAAAAGTTGTATGGTTTTGAGGGGGACATAAGATGGTACCAATGATTTGACTTTGAAGAGTTATTTGAAGATCACACGGAGATCACCAATTTCTTAAATGGAACCTACATTTTCTCATTACACATTCTTGTAGCTTATCTCGAGAGTTTACCAAAACACTATAATTAAGTACGTTTTCGTTAAATACTTCTTGAGTTATAAGGCTTGAAATCATTTATTAATTTTACATAAACCATAAAATACCTTGTAAAATATCCATTTTTCGATTATCTTACCTTAATACTTTTATGTACAAAATAATGAGAGGAATTAATTGGTGTAAAGAAAACACATAGTTGTTTCTAAGAAAAAATATGTAATTTGCAATTAACAGTTCCTGTATGTATATATATATATATATATTTTTTTTTTTTGTGATGCCTGGCGGTCCGTCACAAGGATCGCGAGATCGGATCGAAAGTAAGTTTGGGCCCTCGTTCTCCCCTGATTTAGGGAGAGAGAGCAGATGTTGGAGGTGGGAGTAAACTCGCTTTCCTTCCGTAGAGATTTATTTATTTGCGATAATAAGATTAGGATTAAGCGCGAACGTGATGGAGGACGCTAACGGGATCTCACCCGGTGACTCGACCCAGCGCAGAAGACCAGGCCAAAAGGATATGGGACGAGCGGAGACACCAACTAAAACGAGAGTGTCGAGCTAAGTATCCTTCTTTGTTTTTATAAATCGTAACATCAATCTAAGACTATCGCTGCCGCCCATGTAAATCTCCATATGCTCAGCAGATACGAGGAACAATCGCGGGGAAGGTCGACCAATAAATAAGATTGAACACCGGAACCCCGAAACGGAGCCACTTCGGTCGGAATAAGCGCTATCGAAGAACTCTAAAAGTCACGACGAGCGGCTATCGGAAAGACACCTCACACCAAGCTTTAATTGAAAGGCTAAGAAAAGTCCGAGAAGAGACAAGGTTGTGATAGACGCAGATACGACCCTGAAAACCGCAGAATTAACACATTGCATGCGGGTATATTTTGCCGCGGACTTACGCGTGTAGCGGGCGTTTTTTCGTGAATTTCGCGGGAGTTTGGTCATTCAGTAAAATCGCAATAAATTGAAAACTACTTCGTTTTTCTCAACGAAACTTTTTTTATTTTACACTTAAATATATGCTCTATTATTGATCACATTAAATATATGCTTTATTATTGATTATTTAAAATGATTATTTTTAAAAAAATGACATTTTTTTGAATAGATAAATATAGAATAGTGAACTAAAAATGAAAAATGAATGGAAAATAGACAATTTTTAATTTTACTATTTATTCAAAAATATTTTTTCATAACAACAAGTACAAATAGCAATGATAAGACTTTAATATTTCTTCACAGTATGGTATCGTTCAAAGCATTTACCTCTGTGAAGCGGAACACAGCAGAAATTACATATGAAACATGTTTCACTCCGTACTTTTTTGGTTGAGCACACACGACATTGTCTCTGTGGATTTTTTTTCTTCCCGGCACCAACAATTTTCTGTAATACGTGTTTGCGCATATCCATGGATAGTCTTCCAGGGGGGTCGCGTTTTGCGATATCCTTTGCACAGCAGATGTGGATGGCTCTGGTTCTTGAATGCTGGTTTCAAGTGGTTCATCAGTAATCCAATACAATGCGATATTATGCAAAAATTTCTTATATTTTATTTTTTGCGACTTTGTAGAGTTATACACTACATATGAATTGAAAAGTGCACAATTTATCATATACATAGCTAAGCGCTTTGTCCACTTTACTGTTTTACGCAAAATGCTATAGTAGGACAAATACCGATCTACTCCTTTCATGTACTTGTTATAATCGATCAAAGCATTTGGCTTTATAATTTTTTGTTTCGTTGTACGGTCAACATTATGGCTTTCTTTCATTTCCGCCGAATGGATTGAAGAGACGAGACTCACTTCTTTCTTCGATTGCCAAACTTGTATCAATATATCTTTTTTTCTACGAAAGATTGTTTCCCCTCTTTTTAAATTAGTTTTTTTCAGACACTCTGGTAAACCTCTATTTTTCCTAATGGTTCCGCAAATTCGTATTTTTTTTGTAAAAGGGCTTTCGTGTTATCAAAGCTGTTGTAGTAATTATCCATATATAAATGGTACCAGATATCAGTATATGGCGAAACTATTGTGTGTATCGTTTCGATCAACCGTAATCCTTGAGCTGCATAAACTTCAAAATTGCAAATATAACCTGTGTCACTTTCAGATAATATTCGTATGAGTATGCCGTACTTTATAAGTTTTCCAGCATTGTAAACTCTAAAAAATAATCGTCCTCTCCAAGGTATTATGCCTTCATCTAATGATACTTGTTGCTTTGGTTTGTAAATGTTATTGAATTTTTCAACAAAATAATTTAGTACAGGCCTGACTTTGAATAATCGATCAGATTCGTCTGTGATGTCTTGATTGTTATTGAAATGCCAAGCCTTCCATATTTGCCGAAATCTATCTCTTGACATAATTTTTGAAAAAAACGGCGTATCTGTGCAGGGATCAGTTGACCAATAATCGTCTCGTGTATCTTTACGAACTTGTCCCATGAAAATAATGAGCCCTAAAAATTTCTTCATCTCCGGAATCGTAATATCTTTCCATTTCGTACTTTTGCGAGATATTTTAAACTGATCGATATTTTGATAATAATATCTGTTTGATTCCGTGACTAAATATGTAAAAAAGTCGTCGCCTATAAATAACTTTGCTGCATCAACTGTGGATTCAGGAACATTATCAGTTATCCCAGGATGACCCAAAAATTCTTTAAGGATTGGAGGATTGTCAATCGATGACCATTCATCTGCTTCTTCATCAGAACTTGTTTCAGAACTGCTAGAAATAGTTCTTCGAGTGAACACTCGAGAACGTGGAATAATGTCATCATCGTCGCTTTCTTCGTTATCTTGACTTTCGGAATCATTATCATACGAAAAATCCGATAATGCATCAACACACATTTCTTGATCACTATCTTCGTCACAATGGCTCATTTTATCAAGGTAGTAATCAATAATAAAAAAAAAACAAGCTTCAAATTTACAAAAC